TACATGAGGTTGTGAAGGAGGAGAGGAGAGGTACACATCTGTATAAAGTGAATACAGGATGACCGTGAGTCACCAATGTGATAATGAATCCAGGTTGTAGCTGAACTATAGATTGTCATAGGAAATTATTAATGCTGTTGGACCTGCTTCTACTGTGACTCATGCAGAATGCAGTCTATATTTCTGATGACTCTGAGTCCACAAAGGTGAACTCAGATTGACTAGAGAGATTGCACTGAAATGAAGACTGAAAATAGGCGGCTTAGTTTAACAAACCAAAGACAAGCAACAAAAAGAGAATACATTTCTCTCTGTGCTTATATAATAGGAAATGAAGGATTTAACATTAGGTAAAAAGAACTACTTAAGAAAATTGATATCACTGTCACAAAGGAAAATGGATATAAAATAGCTGTGAACAAGATCAGGCTAGAAATCAGACTGAAGTCTCTAACTGTGCAATAAGGACTGCTGGTGTGCCTTCACATAGGCTTAGCTGGAGCAAAAATCCTCTGAAATGAGGATCATTAAACGTGGTGTGATAATGGAGGGCCTGGCTACACAGCCAAATAGCTCTTCTGGTCTTATGGTCATAATTAAAATTCCTAGATTCTCTGTGCAGGCTACATAAGCAAGTGTAATTAGTTGAAAGGTATGCCTACGGCTATGCAGGCAAGAAATGCTGTGTTTGGTAATGTGGCAAGGGTAGAAAACTTATGTAGTCAAGTCATGAAGGAGATCTTAAAAAAAGACATCTAGTACAACTAAGGTCAATGCACAGGGGTGCAAAACTGGCACGTCATGTGAAAATAATGAGTTGGAATGACAGAGCAGTAAATGAAATACATATGAGTATAAAGAAATCAAGTATAACAAGTGCAGAACGTTTGTTAGAGAACTAGTAGATGGGCAGGACTGTTGAGAAGTAAAGGGAGCCATAGCAAATGATAAGAGAAATATAAATACAGGAAACTGCTTTACACAGGAAATTGAATCAAAAACCTTCTCTTAGTAGAAGAGTGGAGTAAGTAGAAAGTGGACTTATCAGAAGAGCATGCCCTTGAACAAATATATGAAATAGATAGCAATTAACACCAAATACTTAAGGACAAGTAGCAAAACCTCTGGAGAAATTTGAGATTAAAGTTGTAAAATAATAAAGTCGCCCATCAAATAGAAGACCAGGTGACTGAAGAGTGGAAGAGAGCTAACCTTCCTTAAAAGAAAAAAGAAAAAAAAGAGAAACACTAATCGTCGTTGTTAAGTAATTTTCTAAACAATTGCAACAGTGAACTTTCCTAAGGAGTTTGTACTGTCCATTGTTTAAGAAACACCCACTGTTAGTCGAGACGAGGTTATGTGCAGTGTGAAATGGACATACGATGCCCTTGGTAGCATGGGAGGACCACAGTGAACACTACAGGCAGCCAATAAAGATCAGGAATCTATGAGACTGCTAGTAAACCAAGAGTTAAAAGTAATTTCAAAACTGTGATTGTTCAGCTTCATCTAACGGTGTTGGGGAGGTTGGGGTATCTGAATGTCCTACATATACAGCTTAATGAGAAAAAATTGTCAAACACTAAGAATCTAAAAGAACCTTTTAAAGGAGTTTGCAGATAAAAAACGGGGAAAATGATAGAAAATACACAATTGTCCCTGCCCAAGCATCTACACACAGTTCCTACACCATGAATGTTGCAATCTCTGCCCTAGGGCTTGTGTAGGCCATATCACACATTCCTACAGCACTGCTGCTTCTTTCTTGGTGTGGCAGATGCCATAACTCATAGTTAGTCTGAGCTGTGATCCACTAACTGGCCGCAACTAATGTGCGGAGGTATGGAGCAAGGCAGTGGCCAGGGGTGCATGCTTTTTGGGGATGGTGGAACCAAAATGATCCCTTCTTGAAAATGTATGCTGCATATTATATTTTAGACCATTCCCTAGTAGACCAACAGAAATAGGAGTGGACTGGGACATTCCTGAGGCTTTTGGACTGCATGATTGCCCAGCTACACTTTATCAATTTAGTTCACAAACTGGTATTTGATTATACTTTGAGCTATTATATAGGCAAGGTAAAGCAGATTTTTTCCATGTGTGCTATTGGAATATATTTCAGATTTATGATTTTTTAAAAAGTATATCTGCAGAAGACAATATGAATACAAAAAATACTTAAGAAAGGGTAGAATTAAAGAGTTTTTAAGTAGAATTCCCCCTCTATAATGCTGAGAAGAACATGAACAGCTAGATAAGAAACAAAAATTTAATTCTTGCCAGTCAGAGTCCAGCTGCTGGAAGACGTTTACAAGCAAGATTTCCCTTTGGGCAGAATATTCTTTTGTGGAATTTATTAATGCCTTCTCTTAAGTAGCTTCTATGTTGTGCCGTTACAGGAACCTAATTATATACTGCCTTGGAGATAACTATTATTTGCATCTCTGTAAAGTAAACATAAAGAATCATGAAGAAAAGTTAGCAGCATTTTGCTCTCTGGTCAATGGCAAGGGGTCTCACCAGTTACAGAGAATCAAGACTTGGAACTCGAATTATAAGCACTCATGGCTTAATTTAATATAACTTAATCTTTACAAGTGAAAATAAAAAGTCAAAACTGAAAAGTAAACTAATAGCATACTATCAGTAGATATTTGACCCACTAGCAAAAATGCATATGGTAGACCCCACACCTGTGAGGTAGGAGGAGCTAAGGAATGTTTGCAAATTCATATCTATGTTTTCGTGGGAACTATGGAAATGATAAGTCTGAAAAAAAGAGGTTGAAAATCTTTTAGTAATCTAAATTATTCTGTGATTCCTTAGATTTTATCCAAAAAAAGAAACTTCAGCAAATAATTACTAGCATTATTATAAGTCAGTTCTTGATTTTTCTGGATGACATGTTGCATACTGTGCACATGCAGTAGGTTTTGTGATTGACTGGGACAGTGATATTAGCTGAAAATATTATTTCAGTGTTTTCAGGGCCTTGATTTTATGCTAACAAAGTTAATGGAAATGTTATTAGTCACTTGAGATAGTGCTGAAATGTCCATATAAATCCTCACATTTAACAGTATATTAAATAGATAGTTTCAGATTTTTACTTTCGCAGTGTTGTATTTTCAAAATGTGGCAAATCTATCTTGAATTGTTCATTTCAGCTGGAAACAAAGCACAAAATTTTAGAACTAAGTCAATCATTGAAATCTTTCGCTTCATAAGCAAAAGTCAGTACTCTTTAAAAACAGGTGCTGTTAGAGAATTTGGAAAGAAATGTGGGAGAAACCTACTTCAGAAAACTTTCTGTGTGTCTACAAATATTAAGTGACTTGAGCGTGAATTGTACATTGTCTCTTCTTTATTATTCTTTTATTATTCTTGCTATTTAACCGGTCCTTTCTGTCTAAATTTCATTTAATGAATGAGAAAAAGATTATTCTGTTGAATCACTTCTTGCAAAGCAGTCTCAGACGGCCTTAGAAAGCAACAGATAGTTCACTGAATGCTGTAAATTCCACTGAAGGATTTAATCTAAATTAATATGTTTTTAAAAGGTGATAAAAAAGAACTTGCTTCTTCAAGTATATTTCTTTCTTTGAGTCAAAAGAAACTGGTTCCAGCCATCAAATCATAGTTTGCTAATTGTTTTGTCTTTCTCATCAGATATGTTAAATGTCACAGTCCCTTTTCTTGGATCTCAAAGGAAGTGCCAGAAAAAATTTCCAGGAAGTTTATATTATGTAATTGTTCTTAACTTTGTAGAAAGCTTCTAATTCAGCAATGCTCAGCTTGAATTGAAACACGGTTTATCCACTAGCCAGTCCAACTCATTTTCAAGCCAGGTTTGCCATGTACTGGATGGAAGGCATATGTTTAACTTTTTCACTACTACTGTGTCTAGACTTATGTAGATGAATTGTAAATGATAAATGTTAAAAATTATAGATCACAAGATTGATCTGTGCATTGTTATTTCTTTTATGCCATGGACTGGCTACAATTTTTCTCTCTTTGCTCTTTCCCTCTCCTCATTAAAATATATTAATGTACTTTTCATTATTAACAGCAGTGAAAATAGACTTAATTTCACCTCTAAGTCCCTCACAGAGTAATTTATCTGTGCAGCACTGCATGCTATCCTTCCTGATATTTGTAATTTCTTTCACAACAGAATCAAACTAAAGTCCTTGTCCATTATTGCTGGATTGTGTTTTACTCATCAGTCAGGTGAAATACCTGGTCATGCTAGACATTTAGATGTAATTAAAGCTTCCAATTCTTCTACTTTGTTGTGGGGACATAATTAATTTTGTGGGACTATTTCTGGATCTCTCCCAAGCAAGTAAAGGCAAACTTTATGAAATTAATGTACTGTTGTTATGTCAGTTTGTAACACACTCAGAATGTATTAGGGACGTAACCTCAGGATAATAAATTGTTAAAAAAAATTAAGGAGTCAATTTAGAATTAATCTATCTCTATCAATTTCTATAAATGTAGTAAATACTTGTAAAGCACAAACTTGATTAAATATATTTTATGCACATAGCCAGAAAAAAAAACCAAAACAATCACTGTAAGTGCAAATATGAAATCAAACATCGATCCAAGTTCTAATTACATCTTAGTCTAAAGCTATTTCATTGAATTTCATCAGTTGTGGTATTTTCCTTTTACATATCTCTGTGTTTACAGACACTAGGATTCTGCTAATCATATTGAGTGCTATCTGCCTGCAGAGTTAGCTAGGCAGTTACCTTAAAACTAATACGGTCTAGTGTTCAGGTTTTGCTTGGGCGAAATGCAAAAAAGAGAAGAGACTTCTCTAGACCCCCGTTTCATGCAATACCTTTCCTGTCTACAGCCTGCATTCCTAAACTAACAGAGTAGAAGAATTTATTGCTGATAGTATTAAAATCTGGTACAGATAATCAGTCGATTGGAGTTAAAGGGAACACAGACAGATATGAGGTAGCTGATTCCCTGGGAACATGCAACTTCTAGGAGGAGACAGTGTTATTCCCAAAATCAGGCTGGCTTCCCAGCACTCTATGGGAGAAACTGGTTTTGGCTGTAAAGGTGAGAATTCTACAGAATATGAATTTTCAGCTGGACATTGGGTTTTTACCAGATGTCTAGTTCTGAAAAGTCTTCACAGGTTTTTTTTTAAATTTTTAACTTTAACTTCTTCTAGTCATGGCTTATCTGCAAACATAAGAGTAGGAAAAACACACTTGGGTTAGTAAGACTAGCTCAGCAACATTCATTTTCAGGGATAAGGAGATAATCCCTACTCTGTGAGGTGATAAATTAGTTGATAATTCACTGACTGGAAATCCAAGGAATCAAGAATGACCAGTAGGAAAGACTTTTGAGAAGTTAAATGCTACAATTTATACACATGGAATAGTAGCTTGTTTGTTTTTCTTTATTTAATTTCTTCTCTTTTTTTTAATGCAAGCCCAAGGGATTTTATCATAAAGAGGGGGAACTAACTGGGAAAACAACAGCGTTTGTTTCTGTGAACTGTTATTCAGCTATCGATTACATGACACAGATGATATAGGAAACTGGTATGGTTTAGCCAACTTCACTGAATCAGTTTGCTTTCATGTGTGACTGCTGTTGTATTAATCCCACTCTGAAGCTATGTTTTAGCATGGCTTAGTTTTCAAGTCTTGTCTGCAAACACTCTAGAGACATCTATGTTCATGCTCGTTGTTGGTATAGGTTGGCTGTTGTAATTTTTCCTTTTGTGTTTTCTATTCTGATGAGGCCATGGAGGTTATACGACCAGTAGGAACCATCTTGTTGTGGGGCTACTGTAATGATGGGTGATGCTTCTAACATAGCCTGTGTAGATGTAGGCAAGATGAAGGCAGTTCAGCAATGGGGCTCTTAAAACGCTCTAAAAGGTAACTAGTAAATGTTTGACCTGGACAAATACTTGGCTGGGACAAAAAACAATGGTCTTTCAGTAAAGTAACCTGGTCTAAGAACTCTGCCTAGTCATGGGAAAGATTCTTCCACTATACCTTAAAAGGCTGGAATTCTTCATGATGGCTTCTGGTCCAAACTCATTTTGAGCTAATTTGCATTAGCCTTGTAAAAGCTTCGACACAATTCTAGGCTGATGCTCAAACCTGGAGAAACTCAGTGGCTTTTAGTGGAATTTTCTTCCTAAAACGAAACTCACATTTTCAACACAAAGCTATGTAAGTAAAATCACATTTATTGCATCAGTATCACAAAATGCCAGGGTTTAGACCACCTGGGACACATCAATATTTAAGATAAACTGAAGGAAAAAGCTCACAGAAATCCCAAGAAAGTAAATTAGCACACCTGTGCTTCCTTATTATCAAACACCTTTGCCACCTCTTTTTTCATGTTCCATCTTTCTTTGTAGACTTGACTTCTCTCTGCTCTCTCTGTTTTTTTTCTTTTTTTCTGATACCTAACAAGTGCACTATAAATATAAGTTGCACACATATTTGCATTTATTTGCTCTTCTGTCATCTTGAACAGTCTATTTTTCCTGTCTTGGCCTTGCCATCTTTCTGTCTCTTTAGCACTCGTGGCGCTCTCTAATTTTCTCTCCCTCTAATTATTGGCTAGTTTAATAGTCTTACCACACCATACCATTATATGTTTTTCTATAATAGATACCATATACTGTTCATCTTTATTAATAGATTTGACATGCTACTCTAAGATACAGATCTTATGACACTGTTTATACAAAAGAAAGTAGCCTGTTGCAGAACCATTTCCCACAAATACATCTATATATGAAGAACACACTACGAAAACCCTTGTTCCTGCAGAAAGCCTCTGAATTAACTGAAATCCTTATCTAGGGAGATTTTGAAGACAAGGCCCAAAAGGGATCTCCCATGATATCAGCTCCATTCTGCTCCTGTTGCAGGCTACATTGACATAGAACATTTTTCATAAATTAAAAAATTGAAACTCATTCTTATTTCAGCATTTTTCTCCCATCCTCCAATAAACCTGCTAGTATGCTGATCATTTTTAAAGACAAATGTTGGGAGGTCAGATGTGTATTTTTTAGATACATAAAGTCATACATTTTCAGCACTTCTAGCGTTTCTTTTACTGCTTTGCACAGAACACCATCTTCCCCTAAATAGATCTTGTATGGAGAAGATAATCCCAGAAAGGAAATAAATGTCATGGAATATTGGTTTCATATAAGTTGAAATATGCTGGATAAAATCTGAAAATAGTATTTTATTTTATAAGTGGCTGGGTTCTGACACTGTCTGTATCCCATGTATTCCATGCATGATTTTGGGTCTAATAACAATGAAAGGAGGAAGTTTGTGTGAAGTCAACATTGCCAGATAACAACAGTTGTTGCTAAATTGTTTCTCCATTCCAATTCTGACAAACTGTTCTCCTCTTTCTTTGCAGTTTTCCACTTGTCCCACAAAGTCACTCGGGTGGTTCCGGAGAGCGCCCTGCTGATTGTTCTTGGTCTCTTCCTTGGTGGCATTGTGTGGGCAGCAGATCACATTGCCTCCTTCGCCCTTACACCAACTGTGTTTTTCTTCTACCTGCTGCCCCCCATTGTTTTGGATGCTGGATACTTTATGCCAAATAGATTGTTCTTTGGAAATCTCGGTTCCATCCTTTTGTACGCTGTCATTGGGACAGTCTGGAATGCTGCCACAACTGGATTATCTCTCTACGGTGTATATCGCACAGGAATAATGGGTAAGTTTGATCTGTGAAGACACAATTGTGAACGCTACTGTATGCCAGCTGTTAGATGGGTGATACGTTACAACTTAACAACTCTTTTCAGCAGAAAAAACTCATTTTAACGGGAGCAATTTGTAGTAGTTTTACCAAATTGAAGAATGATCTGAGAAATCTTCTCTGAAGCAAGGACAAAAGGGACTTGAGCCTGCGTCTCTCATATTTCTCTGCTCTAAATGTGCACATACACTCTCAGGATAAACTCAGGATTCATCCTTCTAAGGGACATCTGAACAAAAATACACTCTGAAGGGCTTGTTTCTTTCTGCTGTGATAGAAACCTTCAAAGTTACTGTGAAATGGAACTGTCTTCTTTCAGGCAGCTTTAATATTAAGTAAGCAATGGTTACTGAGTGGGTATGTATGCATGGCACATCTCTATTTTGTCTTCTGCGGCTGCAAATTGTAACTGAAGACTTACAGAGCCAAGTAGCACATGTAAGATGCACTCTGTCTTAATTGCACTATAATATAAGGGCATGGGGCTGCTAGAAGAGGCACAGAACAGCAATTCTTAACCTCCTCAGCAGGTGTGGCATGCACATAAGCTATGCAGTGCCACCTGAAGAACAATAATTCACATTGTACATGGATAGTGTGTGTTCTCAAACAGGCATCCTATCTACGCTTTTTTAGTGTCTGTACTGAAGAAGCTCAAGAGTCCTTCCAGGACAAAATTCTCTTAGGTTAGTGAGTTCTAGGAAGTACGTACAGGGCACATCTGAGCGCTGCTGAGAGGAGCACAGAGGTTGTGTGCTGCTGTGCCTGGGCACTCTGCTCCTCTGTTCTTTGCAGCCAGTGCTGAGATCCTGGACCGAGTGACTGGCTCCAAGACCACAAGGGGTATGTTGTGTTGTACGAAAGGCTCAAGAGCTAGTCATGGGGCTGTTCTCTAACCACACTGGTGCAAAATTGGCTCAGAGCAATTTACCACAGACTTCCTTTTCAGTCCAGATAAAAAGAATGCCTCAAATGTCAGAAGTTGCAGATGTTGCAGAGAACATTTTTGTGATGAAGGACTAAATTATTAGCTGATTATTATGGAAGATAATATAGGAGAGTTTTTCCAGCCTCAAAAACTGCTCCCATTGTCCAGCACAGGGAAGCAGCAGAATTTGGGGCTGGATTCTTTGACACTGAGCATGAGATTGGGATATCTGTTCTACCCATTTTAAGGGAAACATGCGTTGTCCTTGTTTGAAAATCCCAGTCTGTAAGAACTTGACCACAGACTCATTCATATGAGACTCATCTTATATAGCTGTAGATGTTTGTAGTACAGAGATCTATGATAGATTTAGCTTACGTTTTAGGTATTTACCTTACTATAACTCACATTTCATAAGTAACAATTTTTCTTTAGAAGACACAAAGGTAACAGCTCAGATGCAGACACTATTGACTTTTATAGGTAGGTGAGATCTTTCCTGTGATTTCAGCCTGTAGGCACAATATATTGCATGCACAATTTCACATTTATAGTTAAAAATAGGTTTTCAGGAACAAAAAAGATGACAAAGGTATGTTGCTATTATTAAAGATTGGACAAAGATTTCTTTCTTTAACTATCCAAGCTGCTTGGAACAATTTAAAAAATATGACCAAAAATGTTTTATTAACATCCTGTCTTGGGAAATAAAATTAATAATAATTACTTTTTAAAAAATGTTGATAATCATTAAAAGAAAAGCCTTTTTAAAAATTGACCTCTTTATGACATGTGAAATGGAAAAGTCAAATACACTCCCAAAAAATTTATTTTAAATGAGAAATCCATTTATCTCTTTCTATCCTCCCAATCCATAAAAAATTCTCGACTAACTGTAAAAGCTGGATTTGATAGGTACATGTTCTGCTTTATCATTATGCAAATCTTTCAGTGACAGTGTGTTCTAGAACTTTACCACAGGTCACAGTTCAATATCTACAAGCTAAAAGTAGGGATGTTAACAAAGACAAACAATAAACTGAAATGCCTGGCAAATGTAAATATTTAGAATGAGTGTTAATTGGCATACTGTGGGGACCTTTCTTTACCACCAAGACATACTATAACCTACTAGAGTTCTAATTTCAGCTATGGAAAAGGCTAGAGAAGCTTGTCCCTGATTCAAACTATGTCATTCTCCAGCAAAGCTAAGTAGGACTTCTTTAAAATATCTACATGACACGTACTTACTAATCCACTAAATACATTGTGGTGACCTCCAAGATGTCAGCAAGATCCGAGTGCCACACTTTGTGAAAAGCTTTGCTGTTGTCACTTACTTGCTGAAGATAGGAGAATGCTGAGTTACTCAATTTCTGGAAGAGTTCATAGCAACCTCTGGTTGAAGTTCTATGGCATATTTTGTTTCTACTCCACTTTTTGTAAAATTGGAGTGAATAATGCTAAAAGTAATATGTAGGAATGTATATCCACTACAGACTAAGATGAACTAAAACCAAATGACTTCCAACTTTAACACTGAATGGGCCTGTAGTACTGTCCATCAATATGAGAGTCCATAATCCTAACTGGATTACATAATTTCCTATATAAATAAACACAAAAGCAGCTCTTTTTTTGCATTCAATATCCTTATAAATATTATAAATTGCAGAAGAAACATAGAGATGGTGATAATAACAAATAAATCCTTCATTAGAAGTGAAATTTAAAGATCAACACCTTAACTATTAAGTAACAGCCATACCAGTCTTCTTTCACAGAATGGGAAGAAGTATCTAATCCTAAACCTTTCTGGTTGATTGCACCTAACTCTTCACCATATGCTGGAGAACTGAGACATGCAGCACCTCTCTGTGGAATAACTGTGGTTGTGACTAATGCTTAGAAAAGTTTTATTCCTGTACAATCTAGGTCATAGTGCTAACATTCCAAGTACGTATAGGAGTCTTAAACTGCACCCAGTAAATTTACCTTGCTCAGATGTCACTGCTGGCAGCTAGTCACTCCAGACTCTGGAGGGCTGGAGGAAGCAATGGTCATGTATCACTTGGAATTAGTCTAAATAAAAGTCTGATTTAGACATCCTATGCCTCTTGACACTGCATTGTAGGAATTATAGATGTGTCCTAACTGTTCCATAAATATTTGCTCGCTAGCATTGCAAGTCTTCAAAGAATGTACCAATGATTATAATTGGTAACATATAAAAAAAGATAAGCAATCTCAGTGAGCCAATTTATTTTAAAAGCTTACGTTCTATTGTACCCTGATATCTGACAGTTATTGTCATTGGGTTTGTTCCTTCCTTAAGCATGGCAGAGAAGGACAACATTTGGTGGAACCATTACTTAGATTCAGGTTCAAGGCTGTTCTCAGAATTTTTGGCACAGACTTCAGCTCACTGCTTCAACCCCTCTCTCACACTAAAATGGATGAATTCAGTCCTCATTCACAGCCCAATACATCCAAAAGTGAACAAGACTATTTCTTTTTTGGAAAATACAGTTTTATGTCTGTGCAAACTATGAATTTCTGTTTTCAGGGCCTTACCAAGGTCCCTATACACTTTATGGAAAACATTGTAGGTGCTCTGATTAGCAGACAGTGGCTAAGAGAATATGTACTTCTGCAGCTCCCTCAGATTATTGGCCATTGCTGCCTACAACAGGGTGGTGTCTACTCCTGTCTCTGGCTGCCCATGTAAATGTCCTTGTCTTGAGTAAATATGCCCATGCCATTTTGTATCAAAAACACTTGGAATCTAGTTACTGTTTCAATTACCTTCCAAACACTAAACATTCTGGGTTTGAAAAATTATCTCATAAGAGTTCTTGTCAGAGGAGTGGCCATGTTGTTCTGGAAGTACCTTACAGGCAATGTTGATCCTTCGGCTACAGCTATTGACTGCCATTGTCTGACTCATGCTTCCAAATCAGTTAATCAGATGGATTACTCCTTTGCCTATAGAAATAATGCCTGATAAAACTGTCCATTAAATTTGGGCATGGGCCTCTGCACTGTGTTCTAATGAATGAACTCTCAACATATTCCTTCTTTGCTCTTCCTCATATAATTTTGGGCTTCATCACGTCTTAATGAACCTTGCTTCCTCCTTCATCCATTAATGAACACAAAGCGAATTTTACTGTTCTCGACCCTTTCAAAAATGTGTTCCCCAGAAAAAATGACTGGGATACCACTCTTGGTTGCATGAAGAGGGTAAATTTTGCAAGATATTTAGGAAGCTGGGCAAAGCAATCTTTGTGGCTCTCCCTTTTCTCTTACTTTTAAAATGATAGTGATGCTTGTCTCAGTCTGTTTGCATAAATGAACAAAATAACCTTAATAATTAAAAGAAAATTTAAAAAAATTAAATAAGTACTATAAATACTGGGTTACTTTGTCACCAGGGTTTTATAGTTCCAAAATTTTTGAAATAATTGCCAAGTTTCCTAAGGGTAGAGGTATGTTTTAGTCTTTCATCTGTTTTTATGGTCCACTTGTGGACAATTGAACAGTGGCTTCATGAATTATAATTTGGGAACAAGTGGCTTAACTACACCTATCAATGAATGTCTACTTGAATAAGGAGGCCACAATTGGTGTTTAACTGCACTGAGTGCAGTTAAGCCCCTCTGTAGTGGTTCTTATTAGTGGTAAAAGTTGACCTGTGGCATGAAGCATTTTGGAACATTTACTTCAGGACTACTGGTATATTCCTCTCACGATCTTGTCAGTTCTCTATTACCAAGCGATAATTTATTCAAGTTAGATAAACTATACCACACATAAGTAGAAAGACAGTTTAGATCTGGAAATACTTCTCTCAAGTGCCTTGCCATAAGAACAGGACTGTACTGCTCCCAGAATCAACTTTCATCCACGTGGGCCAATGCTGGAGCCAACAAACCTTGTAGGATACAAGGTGACACAATGCAGAACTTGTGAAGTAGTTTCTGTGCCATGCTTTCCAGTCGATGCCTTAGGACCCTTATTTTCAAGGATTTTACATTACCTGTAATATCATAATCTGTCATGACTATAGATAATACAGAGCTGATTCTGCTTATACTTTGTTTGCTTTATTTTTGAAGGCCACCTGAATACTGGACTGCTGGACTTCCTCTTGTTTGGCAGCTTAATTGCCGCTGTGGATCCTGTAGCTGTTCTGGCAGTGTTTGAAGAAGTCCATGTCAATGAAGTTCTATTCATCATTGTTTTTGGAGAATCGCTTCTGAATGATGCTGTAACTGTGGTAAGTGAATTATATATCCCAAAGTCACCCAAACTCTAGAGGATTTCTTCTGAAGTGTATTTTCCCCTTAAATGAAATACTGTATCATCTGTGTGTATCTACTCATGGGCTGGTGTAGCATAGCTCATAGTGTTCTCAGTCTTGCTTAAAACCATGTGTTGCAAAGATTAAATGTTTGAGCATGAAAGCTATTTTGAGCCCATAAGTCACATAAAAATATGCAGTCCTGGGTTGGATGAGCATAAGAACATTTAAAATGAAGTTTCAGGTGTGTATGTTTTATTTACCTTTGCTGTTCAAGTAGCTCTTTCATGACTTACTGAGATTAGTTCCAGGGATTTAAAGCTTTTCTTTGCTGTTGTTTTTTAATGCACATACTCTATTCTGCATATTTCTGTTATGTCTATAATTTATATGAATACCTCATACCTAGATAGTGAGAGAGAGAATACTCGCCAAAAGTGCTTATGCCTGTTCCCTCTCTTTTACTTCAGTCAGATGTTTATCAAAGAGATATATAACGAAAAACCAATTTGGGAAAAATTGTGGGACATTTTTGAAAGTTTCTGATCTGGGTTGGGTTTTTTTGTCAACATGTTAATTTCTGGTTTTTCTTATTTAGAAAGAAAATAAAACCTTAATATACTTTAATAAATTTACAACAATCCTGAATTTCTACTGATGTTTTTATTTTTATTGAAACTCCTTTTCACACAAAAGTATTCTCAGAATACAATAGTCAATAGTTTTGTAGTATAGTGCTAGTGGGCAGGGACCAGGAAGTCCTATGGCAGGAAGGTTTCTGCTATGGCAGAAAGGAGTTGCTATAGAGCTTCAATTTACTTCTTGGATCATCAACTATTCCTGCTCCTGTATATCTCCAAAGTAAAGTAAGACATGTCCACCAGGCTTAGTGACAGTAATTTTTTGCATCCAAGGCAGTAAGGCACTGCAAAGTCACTGGCAGCAGCCTAACTGTTCACATGAGCTTGAAAATGCCAATTAAGGCCTCTAGAGAAACCTCGTTGCCTTTAGATATCACTCTCATTAGTATTTTTGGGATATTACCAGAAACAAATATTAAAATAAATACTTGATGAACTCAAGTATCAACATCACTGGCTTTCAGAAGGAAGGAAGACTTTCTTACTGTGAAATGAATACAAACACTCTACAAATAAAAGAAAGTTTGATTGTTGAAGAAAATCCAGAAGAGAAGAGTAAGCATGATCAAGAGTCAAATACCACAGCCCATGAGAAAGTTTGAAACAACTGCAGTTCTTACGTTGAAAAAGAAAAGACAGGAGGACAGAAGAAACTGGATGATGTAGCATTCATTAAATGTAAATATATAAAAGACTACTGTTACTGGACAAAGTAACTTGTATGCCATTACTGGGATAAATATTATAAGAATTAACAAGCTTAGCTACAACAGGGAAAGCTGAGAAAGCCATAGTAAAGTTCTCCTCCATCACTGGAGGAATTAAAAATGGATTAGACAGGCATGTGTCAAGAATTGTGCTCATACAAACCTCTTTCGGCAGGGGTATGGATAACATGAATTCTTTGCTTTCAGCACTATCACTGTTAGTCAATTATTTTAAAAGCTTTAGTAGAATTATTATAGTTTATTCTCTTTCTTGTTTATCTTATTTTACACACATTCAACCTATTTCAATCCAATACCTTATTATTAACATCTTATTATTATCGTATTAAGTGTCTTATTTATCTTATATAGGCAATTCAATAAATCTGCCAACTACCTGGATCTTAGAGTGAAGAGTGCTTTAGAAAACACATCTAGATTTAACAATTATTCTTATAGATAGAAATCATATTGAAGTAAGAAATGGAAAGTTGTTTTTTTCTTTTTTAATTTGTGTTTCTTCTTTCTCCAAAAAAAAAGCATTTTTTTCATTTTGAAAAATTCAGAAATCTGCAAAATCTCCCTCCACACAGAATTTACTTCAGTCATACGTAATTTCAGATTTCATAATATTGGGGCCCATACATGAGAATATTTTAATAGGCTTAATTCAGGAGCAAATATTAAGTTTGCTTACTTTTCTTTTCAGGTGCTATACAACGTGTTCGAAAGTTTTGTTGCAATAGGTCCAGAGAATGTGACTGGGATTGAATGTGTCAAAGGCATAGGTGCGTAGAATTGAATTCTGTATCACATCATTGATGTACATATACACAATTTTAAACAAAATATTGTTATTATGCTACCAGTAACTGATTTTTCAGACCTTTCCCTTGTCACTTATATTCCCACAGTCCTGTGGCATAGACTAATGTCTTAAGAAACTAAAAAAGTGAATCTTCCTGAATATTTGGGAAACTTAATCAGATTTGTTTTATTCTGAGGAGACTCAACAGATGTGGAGTTCAGTTGTTAAGACCACCGAACTTGACAGTTATGCATAATTTCTTTGTATTTCATAACATGCCCTTAATTTCAGCCTATGCCCTCCATGCATTCCAAGAAAAGTTGAGATTGCATATCGGCATTCTCACTGCTTATCACTGATTGCCATCAAGTAACATTTGCCAGTGACTATCAAAAAATGTTATATAACTAAAATTCAGTCACTACATTATCTTATGAATCGATGTTTTAACAGTGACTTGGGCCTATTCTATAATATGCTTTTGGAAAAGAATTTGTTCACAGAGTGTGGGACAAAATTGTTCAAAGAAATGTAGTGGGTTTTGAATAAGCCTAAAATGGTGAGGCCTAACAGAAAATAACCTTGTTTTTCTACAGAATGCTGCATTCACATACCAAGTGCTCAAAAGCAATTCATGTTTTTCTAGCATGTTTTAGCAATTTCATGTCTAAAAGTATGCATTTTAGAAATAATTTTTGACATGTCCTCCAAAATTTTCTCTGATTTGCTGGCCATACAATAGAAAAGAACTAGCTGAAACCATTATATTTCTACTGTTTAAGATATGTTTGGTTTTGTTTTTCAGTGTCATTCTTTGTGGTGAGCCTAGGTGGGACACTAGTTGGCATTTTCTTTGCGTTCCTGCTCTCATTGGTCAGTCGTTTCACCAAGCACGTGAGAATCATTGAACCTGGATTTGTGTTTATAATTTCTTACCTGTCCTACCTCACAGCGGAGATGCTTTCTCTTTCCGCTATCCTTGCGTAAGTATCTTTTTATTACTGCTTGTGAAAGGGCTGAGAAGGGAATATGGTTTTTAAAAACATTAAAACAGTGAAAAGAAAGACCTAAATTATATAGGAAAGCTATAGAATATGACACTCATTAAGCTGATGTTGAATATTACCATCTTCACACTGCAGTACATTATAGTTTGCAAATACTGTCATTCAGCCTTGAAAAGGAATGCAAGTTTTCCACTATCTGCTGTGCAACAGAAGAACCTGCTTTACAAAATACAGACTTGACCCTTTCCTCTTTGTGATTAATATTCTTCAATAACTAACAGTCGTCCATTTGCATTGACACCTTTCCCTAGAATTTGTAATTAAAACAATATTTTTCTAAGGCATTATCTGAATGTCCATTATTTGCTGCTTTCACTGTCTTGCCTGGCCTGTTAAGGTTTGCCTAAACCTTACCTGTTTTGGCTTGAGTACCTCTGTGGTCCTTCTTCTTTTAGTACCCATTGGTTCGTGGCATCCCTTCTCAGTTTTGCTTGTGATGTCTGTAGAATTTACAGTGAGTATATTCAAGATCTGAAAATCTTACTGCAAACAGATCATTAGTTTAAGATTATGTCTAATGTAAACAAGATTTAAAATTTTGCCTGTAAAGCAGTATAGTAATCTGAAGAGAATTAAGGTCTGTTACCATCTAACAAAATACTGTCTTCAGACCTCTTGGGGCCACCTCAGGATGAATGTTTAAGATATGCTTTTTACCTAGGTTAGACTTCACAATGGCTCGTGAGGGTATTTTTTCTGAGGACGTAATGGTGGGTTTTTATCACTATGTGACAGATGGAAATACTATTAAATGTTACAACAGATATTTTCTGAACAATTGCTTCTTTTTATTTTTTCCTAGGATAACTTTCTGCGGCATCTGCTGTCAGAAATATGTCAAGGCTAACATATCTGAACAGTCTTCTACAACTGTAAGATATACCATGAAAATGATGGCCAGTGGAGCAGAAACTATTATCTTCATGTTCCTGGGAATTTCAGCTGTAAACCCAGAAATCTGGACTTGGAATACAGCTTTTATTCTGTTGACTCTGGTTTTCATCTCAGTATATAGAGTTATTGGTAAGGAGATGATCTTCTTCCTGTCCTTGTATTGTATTGTTGATGCAATCACATATTCTTTGCCCGCCCCCCAAAAAAAAAAAGAAAAACAAAAAAAAAGAATTTGGAGTTTCAGAGTTCTTCCTGTTAAAATGTTCCATTTATTTTACTTGAATTCATGGTTGGTTTTGGGTTAGGAGGGTAGATCTCTACAGTAAGCTTCATCATATGCTGAAAATATAGTAGGATTTCACTTTTTATGATGTGTGAGGATATGAGTAGCCCAGCGGTTAACATGAATCACCCAGTGGCTAACCTTTGTTGACCCAGCACATGGTATTGGCAAAATCTCCCAGTGGAATGGATTTTGTTCTTTAACTTGCAGCCTAACAAAAGATGGGAGTCCTGTCATCCATCTCCTTCCTTCAGCTCTTTCTATTTGGTAATAAAGACATTGTCTTAAGCTAATTTTATGGTTGACTTCAGATTTGAGATACACAGTGATGTAAGACGATACATAATTACACTGCAGGTTCTCTGGCTTAAGAAATAATTCTCAGGCACTGGTGAAAAACTGAGCAAATAAGACTGTGGTAAATAGGGATTACCTACTTGGGCTTATACAAGTTTGCAAACATTTCAAAATACCAGTGACAATTTGCCCAACTATGTAGTTCTGTTATTTAATCACTGTTTTGTGAAATAGCAAAGGGGGAAAATCACAAAAAAGGCATAGAATGAAGTACTTCTAGAGAGTAACACACTTAGTGTAAGTGTACTTACATCTGGGAATAAATTAAATTAGTTTATTTGCCTGTTTGTCTTGAATTAAATTCAAATAAAAGGTAACACATCTATCTAGCTGGCAGTTTTCCTAGACTCTGTATTCTTATTCTGTCTAGAGGTTCCTGGGCTGAATGAGGGGCCCCATGTCCTCCTTTCTAAATAGTCTGCAATCGTTGTTCGTTTAACAGTAACCTCAGTAACCGCTGTGTGCATGAGGTGTTTAAACAAGTTTTCAGTATCTTGACTTTGTCACTTCTTGTATTCCTGGAATGAGTGGTTAACAATCCTGTAATAAGTGTGATCAATAATTAAATAGCAAATATTCAGCAATGACAATATGCATCCATTAAAGTAACTGAGCTTAGACATTGATAAATTACTGACAATATTGGGCCTTACATAGTTGCAGCTCTTGTACCCTTGGAGGAATCAGATTGGCAGCATGAATTAATTTTCAAGGTCCCCTCCACCAGAGGCCTTGCTTACAGTGATAAACACAAGACACATTTCCCTTAGCATAAGTTCAAAGTTCCCTAAAATGAGAAATATCTCTTTTGCACTGCTTAACAGTCTTGGCCTGCTGCAGTGGGACACACATGCTGTGCCGCTCAGGAGTGGTGAAGCTTGTTTGCCTTCTCTGTGGCGGGAGCTCCGGGAGACATTGTGATTTCTAGAGCTTTAGGTCTTCTATAGCAGGCAGCATCTCACCCGTAGGCCTGAAGACAGTGTTAGCATAACTACACAACCCTCCATAAGAAAATGGCATAAATGTAATTTCTAGTAATTTGTAAAGAGTACCACACTTGCTCCCTAAATCAACGCTGTTTCAACCCGTTTCTCTTTCTGTTAAACGACCCTGTGCATATCACTGACTGTGGTGCTAGAACTTCCATCCTTTCTCGATTGTGAATTTCAAAGGGCAGCACATCGCAGAATTTCATCTGTAGTGCCTATGCCAGAGGGCAGCACTCTCAGAAGAGCTCCTGGCTCACAGAAGAAGCCTCACCGAAGTTCTTTGGCCTCACCTAAGTCCTTTGGCTAAACATAAAGGGGAAGGTACCACGGGGGTAATGCAGGGGGAGAAGTAGGTGGTGTAGAGAATTTGTTACGAAAGCAGAGTGGTGGTACCATTTCTGTTACACGTGGTTGGGGTACTGAGATTCCATAAGGGTATTTCTGGACATGCTGGCATTTCTTTTTTTATAGGTGTAGTTTTACAGACATGGATCCTTAACCACTATAGAATGGTCCAGTTGGAGATAATAGACCAAGTGGTGATGTCATATGGTGGACTACGTGGAGCGGTTGCTTTTGCTCTGGTTGTACTTCTGGACACGGACAAAGTGAAAGAGAAAAACCTGTTTGTCAGCACAACTATCATTGTTGTGTTTTTTACTGTTATTTTCCAGGTAATTCAACTTCTTAAGCACACTTACAGCAAGGAGAAGGAGTCCCCCAAAAGTACTGAACGCTTAAAGCAGTTCTCAGCTGAAGGTTGCGTATTGTTTCACTGAACTGAAAGCATAATTGAATTTGTAATTTTAGTAACAAAGATCCTATTTTATGTTTTCATATGGCACCACAAGGGACAAAACACAATTTCCTCTGTGCTAAAAAATGTTCAGTCTTGGCTGCTTGGTATTAATAGTGCTCAAGTTAATATCTGATTAAACATCCTTCACCTCATGTGAATAACAATAGGGAACAGTCCTTTGCATGGGCAAAGACAGTCATTAAGCTGATCTACCTGAGCCCAAATCCTTGTTTTAAAATATAACAGTAAGCAGTGGGACAAGAAAGTAATTAGCATCCAAACAAAATAGTACTTTCTGGTTTTAAAAAACCCCACTTAAAATGGAGATATGCCAGTATAAACCAGCTTGGAATTTTTTCTCAAATTTATTATAGAAAATTTAATTGTGGTCACAAACTCCTGATATGTGCAGAAAATACTGCATTCAATGGCATAGGAAACACGTTAACACTTCCACTACCATATTTTTCTTATAGAAGACATATTTTTCCACTGGTTGGTGTCTTTTCAAACCTTTGTAACAGGAGATGAGGGTACTGCATTATTTTCTCTTCTAAAGGGGACAAAGATCAACTGAGGAAGTATGAGAACCACCATATAACATACAAAAACGCTCTATTTCCCTTTAACAATGACCAACTGGAGGAGAGTTTAAGATAATTCCTAAGTATTTATTTACATTTATATTGTTTCAATCTTTAGGGACTGACTATCAAGCCTTTGGTACAGTGGCTGAAAGTGAAGAAAACTGAACACAGAGAGCCAAAACTGAATGAGAAACTTCATGGCAGGGTAAGATATTTTTAAACAAAACTGTGGTATATTTTTTATTTTTACAGAATGGCTTAAGAGAAAAAAAAATTAGAGAAAGTTTATTTTTGGAAGGGAGGCGAGAGTCAAATCTCAAGTGCAAAATCTTCAAACATTTCAAAAGTTATCTGTAGGCTGTAATTTGTCTTTGGGTTGAGTCTTGTGAGGGGATACTCAGCTGAAGGGTCTGGTCTTTTACTTGAGAGTTCAATGGGGCTGACAGTGCTGGGGAAACAGCATGGCTGGAATGTGCTGCTTTACCTAAAAGAGGAGGACGTTTGATTGAAGACTGCTAGGGCAAAGCATGTGGAAGTAAGTTTATTTTTCCTTCTTAAATATTGTTTATCTATAGAAAAGATGTGAAAACAGGCTTTGTGGATTGCATATTACATAAAAAGGTAGTCTGCTGCCCAGTGCAGGTGTTAATTATATACTTAAATTCCAGATTAATGGTAATAGTTTTAGTTCAGTGTGAATGTTGTGTGTGCCTGCATTTCTTTAACCTTTTAAAAGACTTTGAAACATGATCTCTTCCAATTCACGGTCACACAACATTATAAAGCTTTTATTCAGCAAAAGAAAATGTACATTTTAAATACAAATATATGTTAAAGGACGGAAGACTATATGACATCTTTCATGGCCGCCTTTAATTCATAAATTTTTCAGATTTACACAGCTATCCTGCACTAAGTATTTTAACACATTCTTGTATGAACTTCTAATCTTCTCTCTCTTCACACTGGAGGTTACCGGAAGTGAATTAACAACTTAATGATGGACAGGGTTTGTTTCTGAGGAATTCTTTTACAGACTACTGAATAAATACGTTATGATTTTGTTATCCAGCAATTCAAATTTCCATTTCCGTTCAAATATTTTACTACATGAAAATCAGGATTCTTACCCCGAGTGAAGAAATACGGTCTGTCTACATTTGTGGGATATAGCATTACATGTCAGTTAGTGGTGCAGGCCGAGCAGTAATGTTAATCCTAACACTTTGTAAATCTGCACGTACTGATTCACCTCTTCCTAGAATACTCTAGCAGATACTGTCTCAGGAGGCACAGTGCTCCTAGAACTGTATAAATTGCAGCCTTCAGAGAGAGGGAGCACTGTCTGTTCTCAGGGAGTGGGAGGAAGATAACTTACTTATAATATAATTTTCTCCACTTCCATGTCAGATATCTCCTGAGGCAGTAATTAATCTTATATTCAGGATAATCCATATCACCCATGTTGTTCTAAACCTAGCATGCTGTATATTCTGCAGTAGTCACTCCACTGTTCAGAGTGAAATTTTAACCATATACAGAAAAAGACCAGATTCTACCTGCCGCTGTCTTGGTTTAAATCAAGAGTAATAAACCTCAGGATTTCCATCAGCCATCTAATACACCCAGTAATGGGGTTTTGCCCTAGATATCAAAAGAATTGTGTCTACTTCTACTCTGAGGGAAGTATGGGTTCCTGAAATGTCTAAAAAGAAACACTAAGGAAATCTTTCAACTGGTTTAATCACTGACAGTAGGAGTGGCTGATGTACTTCACAGGGCAGAAATGGAGGTGGTAAAACGAGTCGGTAAAAAGAGTCTTAAAATTGAATATTAAAATGGGGGCTTAAGTACTTTCTTGCTGAGACCTTTGCAGTTCAAGAATAGTTAGTGAATTTGTAAAGAACTGGTTAGAAAGCTCAGGATATTTGTAGAAAAGCATACAGTAGTTAGTAGTTCTGTAAATGGAAAAAAAATCTGCTTAGCAGCAATAAAATTATTCTGCATAGTCACCTGGTCTAACCTGACATAAATTAAGCTATTTTCTAATTATGTCTTTTATTTCTGTAAAGATGTTAATTCTTCTTTCACTTTCCTAGGCCTTTGATCACATTCTTTCTGCTATAGAAGATATTTCTGGACAAATAGGACATAATTATCTGAGAGACAAGTAAGTAGTAACTAACTTGAAATGTTGAAATACTGCTAGGAAATCTTATCTGTAAATTATGACTTCTCAAGCCTGTGAGTTTAGGGACAGCAAGGATGTCAAATATAGTTTAAAAGGTTATAGACTGAAAATACTGAAAATATATCGAATATGAAAATAGTTTATTTTTGTCCCCTACAACCGGAATGTTTTCTTTTTGTTCCGCAGTTCAGGTTAGGCCTTTGCAAATGCCTCTGTTCACATCCAGGGATGAGTTTCTCTCAAGATTTGAGAACTGGCCATTTGCATAAGATTTAACCTAAAATATTAATGTTGGTCCTTCTCTGTAATACTCCATTTCATGAATATTTTTTGTGTGGGGAGACACTAAAAAACCTCAAGTACGACAGTGCTAGTTCTTTATCCTATTTCTACAAAGGATGTGTTCAGCACCTCTGAAAGTGATGGCAGAGGGTGCTTTGAAATGACTCGGATAGTTTAAGCCTATTAGTTTAAAACCAAAAATGAAAATTATGGATCATTTCCATCCCCCTCTGTTTATAGTTGATTCATCTTGAGAGAAGCAAAATTACGTGAAAGATACAGACATCATTATCTTTAAAGTACACGTGAAGAGTTACCATTGTGACGGGCAGACTTCGATAATCTAGATTAATAAATGTGAAAAAAGGACATTAAATCTGGAAATTTTTAAGAGTCTCCTGGAGTTATGTCATTTCATAGGTGCAGACAGTTACAATTCTGACCTGCTAATGTCCTGCTGACTCAACATGTCAATTCCAATCCAAAAGCCATGTGGTTGTGTGAGCTTTCTGCAGAGCACTCCCCTAACCCTTGCTAAGGAGCTGAGTATATTAGCTTAGGTTTAGCATCATGCTCATATAACTATATAGCTCCTAGGCTAGAGCTAGATCGTATCTGAGCTCAAGCAGAATTGCTTACCTGTTTGTCCCCGGTTATAGGGACAGTCTCCTTCATTTCCACTTCATTATGCAGTGAAGAATTTTTACGAGGCATCCCACATAGAACATCATCTTTCTTTTGGTCTAAATTTTTAGTTTATTTTGGGAGAATGAATTTCAGCAGGCTATGATACAGGGGAATACATCCCCAGTTTTAAAATACTGTCTTGAAGATGGAGCAGATTTCAAGTAGCAGATTAGAGTTTGACTTCTTAGATGTCAGAAAGTAATCTCCCTGAGTAACAAGAGAAGGAGTAGCTTAATGTAGATTCATGGTGGAATGTGTAGTTTGATGACTGATGTATTTTGAATGAGACCACCTTAAGTCTGCTTCTTTTGGACTATATGTACATGAAAGTGGTGCTTCCTCAAAGAAATGGCAGCCCCTAGCATCCTCACTGATGTGCTCAGGTGTGGCAGCCTGAATTAGAGACTGCTTGTCAGATGTTCTGGCTTGAGAAAAGGAATAGTTATTAATTCTGTCAATAATGTTTAACAACAAAAAGGTCTCGGCAATCTGAATAAAAAGTCCTAAACTCAGAATAGCCATTGATCAAGATGGATAGAATCACTTTGAATAGTAGTGTCCAAAGTTGCTTCATGTCCTTTAGACAAAATCTTGAGGAAGGTAGATGAAGGTAAATCAGCCTTTATCTTCTGGAGCCTAAATATGGCAGATATCCCACTATCAGACAAGCTTGGAAGTGTAAATCACAGAAAATACACATCACTTCTATCCCCCAGAGTACATCAGTGGCATGAATAAGGCCCTCTGTAAGTGCTTTTGGAAGGGCACTATTGTTGTGAAAGGATTTTCTAGGCTGACTGTCCTACAACACAGCTGGGGCAAAGCAGATTCCCTTCCAAAGGAAGAAAGAAAATTAAACTTTTTGAATGAAGTTATTAAAAATAACAATGCATAATCAGAAGTGGAAAAATAATGTAGCATGATCTCCCAGAATGTAAAATGTCCTAGTGACTCCGAAATGGGATACTGTAATCATAGCACTCTTCCTATTGTAGTACTGTTTGGTAAGTTAACCTTTTAAATGCTTTGTGACAGCTGCATAACTCTGTAGCAGGTTTTTCCTTAACTTTCTTTAAATGCTAACTGAAAACCTTCAAAACACAAATCCCTCATATTCTTATGTTCAGCATTTTTTAAAAAGTGCTTAGCTCACAAGAATATCATTTATGCTAAACTAAAAATGCTGTGAAACTAAAATTGCTTGTTGCCATTAACACAGTTTGTTTAAATTATCAGGTGGTCCAATTTTGATAGGAAATTCCTCAGTAAAGTACTGATGAGAAGGTCTGCTCAAAAATCAAGAGACCAGATCCTTAATGTTTTCCATGAACTCAACTTGAAGGATGCAATTAGCTATGTGGCTGAGGTACTTATAAACACTTGCTGACATATTATAGCATTGTTTTTTGTGTTTTTTGTTTTTTGTTTTTAATTTATCATATAACCTAAAGTTGATATATTGCAGGAGATGTCTAAAAGAAAACTATTTTCATTTCTCCACTGCTTTTTTTTCTAAATGTGTTTTGTGTCTCAATATCACCTGTTTGAACGGCTGTAGCTCTCAGTATTATGCCTGATCCTCAAGTATGAGTATATTGTACTTATGCCAGTGAACTCTTCTGTTGGATTTTACTGAATAACTTCATTTCTATATTCATTGCATGAAAAAATCATAGAATCATAGAATCGTTTAGGTTGGAAAAGACCTTTAAGATCATCAAGTCCAACCATTAACCTAATACTGACGAGTCCACCACTAAACCATGTCCCTAAGCACCACATCTACACGTCTTTTAAATACCTACAGGGATGGTGACTCCACCACCTCCCTGGGCAGCCTGTTCTAATGCTTGACAACTCTTTCAGTAGAGAATTTTTTCCTAATGTCCAGTCTAAACCTCCCCTGTCGCAACTTGAGGCCATTTCCTCTTCTCCTATTGCTTGTTAGTTGTGAAAAGAGACCAACATCCACCTCGCTACTACCTCCAGGTAGTTGTAGAGAGCGATACGGTCTCATTCAGCCTCCTTTTCTCCAGGCTAAACAGCCCCAGTTCCCTCAGCCACTCCTCATAACATAAGACTTGTGCTCTAAACCCTTCACTAGCTTCGTTGCTCTTCTTTGGACACGCTAAGCACTTCAGCATCCTTCTTGTAGTGAGGGGCCCAAAACTGAACACAGGATTCGAGGTGCGGCCTCATCAGTGCAAGTATAGGGGGATGATCCTACTCCTGCTGGCCACACTATTTCTGATACAGGCCAGGATGCTATTGGTCTTTGTGGCCACCTGGGCACACTGCTGGCTCATCTTCAGCCAGCTGTCGACCAACACCCCAGGTCCATTTCCACCGGGCAGCCACTCTTCCCCAAGCCTGCGGCATTGCACAAGGTTGTTGTGACCCATCTGCAGGACGTGGCACTTCTTAGCTTTGTTGAACCTCATACTGTTGGCTTTGGCCCATCGATCCAGCCTGTCCAGATCCCTCTGTAGACTCTTCCTACCCTCAACCAGATCAACACCTTCCTTTTCTCTCTTCCCCGTCCTCTCAAGTGGATGGACTGCAAGATGGGGACTGGAGGAGCAAAGGTCCTCCCATTGTAAGAGAAGAGCACGTTCAAGGCCACCTGAGGAACCTGAACATACATAAGTCTATGGAACCTGATGAGATGCATCCGAGAGTCCTGAAATGACCAAGCCATACTCCATGATATTGGAAAAGTCATGGCAGTCAGGTCAAGTCCCTGGGAAAGGGACTTAAAAAGGGAAATATTGCACCATTTTTAGAAAGGGTAGCAGGAGGACCCTGGGAACTACTGACATGTCAGCCTCACCTCTGTGCCTGGGAAGATCATGGAACAGATCCTCCTAGAAGCTATGCTAAGGCACATGGAGGGCAGGGAGGTGATTCAAGACAGCCGATATGGCTTCACCAAGGGCAAGTCTTGGTGAACCGACCAAGATAGTGGCGTGACCTACATAGTGGCCTTCTGTGATGGAATGACTATATCAGTGGACAAGGGAAGAGCTACCAACGTCATCTATCTGGACTTCTGTAAGGCCTTTGACACAGTCTCCCACAATATCCTTCCCTCTAAATTGGAGATGTATGGATTTGATGGGTGAACTATTTGATTCCATGGAGACCAATCCCATATGAAGGGATTGAGAGCAGCCCTGCTGAGAAGGTCTTGGGGATACTGGTGGATGAAAAGCTGGACATGGGCCGGCAATGTGAACTTACAGTCCAGAAAGGCCAACCATATCCTGGAGCACATCAAAAGAAGCATGGCCAGCAGGGAGAGGGAGGTGATTGATTCTGCCCCTCTACTCTGCTCTGGTGAGAACCCACCTGGAGTCCTGTGTCCAGCTCTGGAGCCCTCAGCACTGGAAAGCCATGGACCTGTTGTAGCAGGTCCAGAGGAAGGCCACAAAAACAATCAGAGGGATGGAACACCTCTCCTATGAGGACAGGCTGAGAGAGTTGGAGTTGTTCAACTTGGAGATGAGAAGGCTCCAGGGGAGACCTCATTGCAGCCTTCTGGTACTTAAAGGAAAGATGGGGACAGACTTCTTAGTAGGGCCTGTAGCGATAGGAGAAGAAGTAATAGTTTTAAACTAAAAGAGGGTAGATTTAGACTAGATATCAGGAAGAGATTTTCTGTGATGAGTGTGCTGAGAGACTGGCACAGGTTGCCCAGAAAGGTGGTAGATGCCTCATCCCTGGAAACATTCCAGGTTAGGTTGGACAGGGCTCTGAGTAAGCTGATGTAGTTAAAAATGTCCCTGCTCATTGCAGGGAGGTTGGACTAGATGACCTTTAAAGGTCCTTTCCAACCCAAACTGTTCTGATTCTATGAACAATCCCACCCAACCTGGTGTCATCTGCAAACTTACTGAGGGTGCACCCAATCCCCTTGTCCAAATCGTTGATAAAGATGTTAAACAGAACTGCCCCCAATACTGAGCCCAGGGAAACACCACTTGTGAGTGACCACCAACTGGGTTTAACTCCATTCACCACACCTCTTTGGGCCTGGCCATCCAGCCAGTTTTTTACCCAGCAAGGAGTACACCTGCCCAAGCCATGGGCAGCCACTTTCTCCAGGAGAATGCTGTGGGCAACCATGTGAAAGGCTTTACTAAAGTCTAGGTAGATGACATCCACAGCCTTTCCCTCATCCACTAAGCAGGTCACCTTGTCGTAGAAGGAGATCAGGTTAGTCAAGCAGGACCTGCCTTTCATGAACTCATGCTGTCTGGGCCTGATCACCTGGTTGTCCTGAAATACTGTAATTCCAAAGGGATCAGGCAAACTACTGTCTTTCTAAATGTGTCAACAGAGTCTGGCTCCTGCAGAACAGTGATTCTATATGATGACAAACCTGATCTGAAGAAGCTCACTTCCAAATGTTGTGAATATATGACCAAAATAGTGAAATGCTATATTCTCATTCTGCCAGATCACAGTAATATAAAAAAATTGTGAAGCGTAACTTTAATTCAATGGAATCATAACATCCACACTTCAAAAATTAGGGTTAAAGTAATTGCCATGGTGTAGTCCCAGCTGGCAACTAAGCACCACGCAACCACTTGCTCACCTCCCACCCCACATGCGGGATGAGGGAGAGAACTAGAATAAAACTTCATGGGTTGAGATAAAAATGGTTTAATAGGACAGCAAAGGAAGAGGGGGAAAAATTAATAATGATAAAGGAATATACAAAAACAACTGATGCACAATGCAACAATTGCTCACCACCTGGTGATCGATAGCCTGTCCCCGAGCAGTGATTCCTGCCCCCCGACCAACTCCAGTTTTATCTACTGAGCATGATGCTATATGGCAGGGAATATCCTTTTGGCCAGTCTGGGTCAGCTGTCCTTGCTGTGCCCCCTCCCAGCTTCTTGTGCAGCTCCCCGCTGGCAGAGCATGGGAAGCTGAAAAGTCCTTGATTTAGTATAAGCGCTATAACAGCTACCAGGATGAAAATTAACTCTATCCCAGCTGAAACCAAGACAGTGATATACTACAGATATCAAACGCAATCACAGAATTGTGAAGTTAGAGAAACTTAAAACTTGCAATAGGATAAATTTTTGAAGTTACAGAATGGAAGAAAGTTACCAGCCTTCTGCAGGACTACCGTTCCCAGACTGGAGCAATGTTCACAGATTGTGTAAGAATTACTAATATTCTTCCATATGAAACTGGTCATGTTAGTTCAATTCACCACAAATGTGCAGTATTCATGTGGTGTAGAGGATAGGTTTAAATGGAATATTTTAAACAGTGATCTTTGAAGTGATAATCTATCTATGCCCTTAATCTCCAAGTGAACTCATTTTCACAGCTAGGTGATACACCAGTTAATGTCTTTAATTAAAATAGCCAATATTACTACTACTACTACTACTACTACTACTACTGCTACTACTACTACTACTACTACTACTACTACTTTCTTCTTTTTTTGGAAATGAGCTACAGCCAGACAGATTTCAGACTTCCTCCAGTGAAACATGGAATTTCGAAGACTGAATTCAGAAAATAAGATGAAATTCAGAAATTACATTAGTTTGAAAAATGGGGAGTGGTTCACTTTTGAGATTTTATACATTACCCATTCAGTTTTCAGACCATTTGAGCCCAAGGACTAATTTTATTTCCATGGTGCTTTCTGGGTCACACCTCAGAGGAAGAAAGTTAGATAATGACTTTGACGTTCATGAGACTCATGTTCAGATTCACTGCTGAATCTGTTCAATAGATTCATTGCAGTATTTTTTCTCATTAACAGATACAAAGGGCTCTATAGATCTCTAAGCCATGCAGATTTAACCACAGAATCTTTACCCAATAACATCCTGAATCCCATATAATAATGTCAGATTAAGTTAGATTATTGATTTTTTAGGAGGGTTACCTTTTTCGTTATACCTTAGTACAGTTCATAACACAAGAAAACTGACTTTTGCTACCCTTGTCCAAATACTATTTGTGTCTTGCAGGCAAATTCTATTGGCAAATGTCTACTGATGTGATAATAAGAGACAAAGAAATTAAAAGTTCTCAGAGTTCTACAAAAGTTTTGCACCATGGTTTCTTCCAGTGGAAATCAGTTATGTTAATATGCCTGATTAGTCATGAGTTGTGAATCCTAAAGTTATTCTACCTTTCTCACATTAATATATTCTTCAGTGATACACTGCTTTAACAAATTTTCCTTGACTTCTGAAATATATCTTTGAGCTAAATATCTGTGAGTTACAAGCTGACGTTGAAATTTAAGTAATTACTTCCAGAAGGAGTAAAGATCTGCCTCCCCCAGCTACTCACTCTCTTCTCACTTGCAAGAAACTGAAGAGTTTATAAACTTTTATAAATTTTTCTCTTTTCAGTTCTGCTGTTGTGCTACATCTGTACAATAAACAAGAGCATAAGAAAGTTCAGTCTGAACCTAAATAAATTCCTTACAGTTGAGAGGGGAGAGCCTAAGCCAGGCAAAATGAAAATAATCCAGAGCAAGTGAATAGAAATGACTTAAAATACTTACAGTTTATAACTTTATAAATCTGAGTTTTTCCAGAAATTCACTTCTGTGACACCAGTTTTAGAACTGAAAGCAAATCTCATTTTTTCGGTATCTCATCTCCTCATGCCATAACCTCTAGATTATGCCCTAGGTGTTTACAGCTGTAATATGTCTTTTTTCTTTCTGTGGCCAGGGAGAACGTAGAGGATCCTTGGCATTTATACGTTCTCCAAGTACAGACAACATGGTAAATGTGGATTTCAGCACCCCACGCCCAAGTACTGTGGAAGGCTCTGTCTCTTATTTACTGTAAGTAATATGGACTGATGTGGGGGTGCTTTTTTGTGGGTTTTTTTATGTCACATGTGAGGAAATGGAACCAGTATTCTACATTTTGAAAAATGCAAATTACAGGGGCTTCATTCACTAGCTTTTTGAACTCCCATATAAAATGGGTATGCATACAGTTATATTGTTGCATTTTATACACAAACAATTTTCTTGCAGTAAAGGCTGGTAAGATGAAGCAGACATCCACATTAGAGTTGTTTCATGTGCATTTTGTTCACCAACTGCTATAGACAAGGCTAGATGTCATTTCTGTGTCTGCTCCAGAAAAGGCCAGAGAATGGCAAGAAAAAAAATTGTTCCTTCCTTTACTCTTTCATGATTCTTGTGAACTGACAAATTAATGCTACACCCACCTGAAAGATAAAAAAAACCAATAGCATTTTCACATTTCCCATTAGGTGTTTGCTCACTTATTTTCATTTAGTCAATTTTGACCTTTTTTTTTTTTTTAAACTTCATTTCTCCCTCTAGTTCCCCATTTTCCTTCCTCTGAAGGTTTTTTCTTCCTCTTCAGCAATTACTGATTTTTAAAACTGCTGTTTGTATATTGTATTCATCTTCAGGAGAGAAAAAGCTGGACCAGTTTGCCTTGACATGCAAGCTTTAGAGCAGAGGAGGAAAAGCATCCGGGACACAGAAGACACAGTCGCTCATCACACCTTACAACAGTACCTGTATAAACCCAGGCAGGAGGTGAGAGCAGAAGGCAGGCATTGGACACTTTTCCAAGCTTAAACTAGGAGACATTATAGGAACCAAAACTTGGGAGCGAAACTGAAAAGGAAAGAACCCATCTGCAAAATCTGCACCTGCACAGAGGAAGACAAGCTCTTTGTCTATGCTCTTTCTGAGTGCCTTTCATTTCACTGGGGCTAGTGGAATGCAGAACTGGGTCCAATATAAGTTCTGAAGCAGGATTAAATGGAGTGTATCAACAGAAGTGATTCAGACACTTATAGGGAGAGGCTTACTTTGAATGACAGTCACTCTTACGCACTTAAAGTTCCTGGACTTATACCTGGTGAAGAAAGAGAAAGAAAAATAGGAGTTTCATTAATGCCTTCAGACTAGTCTTTGATTCATTCTTTTTTATGGAGTTGTTTCCATTTGGATGACACTGATTTAATGCATTGATTCAGGGCTTCCAACTGTATTTCTAAATAAATTAATATTGTCTTCCCTTTCCGGCCACAGCACAAACACCTGTACAGTCGACACGAGATCATGCACAGTGAAGATGAGAAACAAGACAAGGAGATTTTCCATAGGACAATGAGGAAACGCTTAGAATCTTTCAAGAGTACCAAACTAGGAATAAACCATTCCAAGAAGCTGAATAAAATCCACAAGCGAGACCGCGGCCAAAAAAGGGTAAAATACTTTCACAAGGACCCAGTAGCCACCTATTGTACAACCTAAGGGGTGGGGAGGGCAGGGAGGACTCTGAAGGGTCCTATGTGCTGCAATTATCTGTTATAGAACTTCATGAACTTAAAGGGTCTAAGCAAGAACAGATTAAACTATGAGATAACTCAAGGGACATCTCACATGCTGCTTTTGTCTATGCTTTGGGACCCTTCTTCTGGGTGAGACATTTTTGATCACTTGAAAAAGAGCAAACCTTGAGCCATGCTACAACACTGTGGGGAGATGTTGCAGAGTAGATATAGCAGGGTAGCACTATAGCATAGAGTATTCCACAAAATTCGCATGAAACTAAGAGGGAGTGTACAGCATACAGAGCCAAAGTTCCTACAGTGAGTATGAGTGTAGGGGGAAACTAATGACATCCATATTGAGTCTCAAGCAAAGATTAAAACAGATTTCAGGGTTATATTGCTGAAGTCATGATTTCAAAGGATGTCACTGCCATTGTTATCTGATGATGGTAACGGTTTGGTAACTTTATTTTTTTCTTTCAGCGAAATAGCAGTGTCATAGCAAATGGAAAAATACCTTCAGAAAATCCAGTACAAGATTTTACTTTGAAGGAAAAAGGTAAAAAGACTCCTAGACCAGTTTCATTAACCGCATTTTACCAGCTACATCATCAGTAAAGCATCACTGAAAAATTATGTTGCATGCAGCAGTGAAACTGGTATTAAAAAGGAACTTCTAGTCATAATTCAGCAGTGGGGATCTGCCCCATTCTTAAATGCAGTGTCTCCATGGTTTAGAAGTTGTTTTTTCTAGGCAGCTGGATGATGAACCAAATTTTAATTGGCCTTTTTATTCATGTTTTTGAAATATCACATTTAAATTTTGAAAACAAAACAATGTAGTGGCTACAACGTTAGAAGAACTTTCAGCTTCCCTTTGAATAAACTGCACAGAGCAACTTTTGCTAACATTTTTCTTTTTCATCACAGCAGGATATGTCTGCCCAGGACACCATGCCATATAAAAATCAGTAATTAAGATGACATTTTGATCTGAGTTAATGTCCAGAAGGGTCTGGATCAGAGTTGATGCTAAGCAAGCATGTTTAGAACTCAAGGGAAGTGTAGCTTTGAAAGGAACAGATAATCAGAGACCAGTTTCAGCACTGATTCACCCTTCATGTACAAATCGAACACACAGGTCAGCCTTAAAAGAGTAATCTGAAGCTGACTGGCCTAGGTAGCATCCCTAGCAAAATTTGGTTTTGCATATAAAGCCCCAAATTCTTTTTAGCCATCTTTTGGCATTGATGTCAGTGATAGCAAGATGTCATGGATGTTAATATGTTTGCTATGTAATTATAAAATAATATGTGTCTCTTAAAAACTGAAATGTTGTTTCAGAAGACAGTTAAAACTGATTCTACTGCAGTAGAAGTAGCAATGACCTCACCAGCTTTGAAATCAGTCAGGCTACTAATGCTGACCTCTGTCAAATGATGAAAATACAGTGACTGGTCATTGTCACGGGACAACGTTTGTCAACACATGAGCATTTAAGACACAAAACACAGCAGCAGCAATGGTCATAGGTTGATTTATTTCTGTCCAAGGAAAGCAGACAATTCTGTTAGCCAAAAGCTTTAGTCAGAGTGTGAAACCTCTCTCTACCATAGCACCAGATAACGCAAGCTGGAAACCTGGGCTGAGTTTCTTGATGTAATTGGTAGCTGAGCTGCAAACTCTATATACATTCACATTTGCCTTTCAGTGCTAGAACGGTTGATTAACTTTTTCCCTTATTTAACTTTGTTAAAGATGTATCTTTGATAACTATGTCATCATCAAGCCAGCATAGAAATAACATTTTCAATCAGAACTGATACAATTCTCTAATCAAATTGGACTTTCCTTTTTTTTCCAGATATGGAGTTTTCTGAATCAGAAGAAAATAATGATTATGAAACTTTGCATCTAGGCAAAGGAGTTGATTTTCTGGCTAATGTGACGAAGCAAAATTTCACAGATACTCCTACTGGTAAAAATATTAATTACCTACAGAGTTTTTTTTTTTTTTTCCAAATGTTAAAAAAAACCTTAGAAATGCTGCTGATGTAGCCTGTATTATTTGTTTTGTTTTGATTTGATATATTCTATTATAAAATATATTTGCTTAATATCAATATTAACAGACAACAAGTTGTGGATATTCAGAGGTACGGAGAGCATCAAATTGGTACTGATAGAAGTTGTGAGCATGACTGCCTAAACCACTAATTCTTTCTAGCAACAGAAAATGTTATTTTAGAGTTGTCCTACCTCACAAGACCAGTCAATACTAGTCCTTTGGAACTGTTTTCTACTTGCATTTGAAACACTTTGTTGTGATAAAGTTCATGCTTCTTTTTTCAGGCAGGATTTCTCCTCTTAAATTCACAACTCCCTCAGATCTTTACAGGCTCTTAGAAGTCACTAAAAATGTTAGATTTGTAGCATACCTGGAGCATTCATTGGACTTGATTTCCAGTCCTGAAAGGCTCCAAAATACCGTATTGAAAGTGTATCACTATATAGAACAGAGATTATATGATATGATTTATAAAGTTTTAAAATCTAGTATTTCTCTTTAGCACGTTTGTGTTTGAATTTTCAGCATGCCACTGTATGATTCATATGTAATATGATGGATACGATGAAGAAAAATACTTGTCTGTACTCCTTTGGTAGACATGCTAATACAGCCTTTTGACTGTTCCATGACAAATTCTATGTTCAGGAATGTATAAAGACATCCAGAATTGATCCAGAAATAAGTAGGGGGCAAGATGCAGACCTAGACTCATTTTTAAAATTTCTTTTTCTGTTCAAATGCTATGAACTTAATCTCTATATTAAAAGGCTTCTGTAACTTACTTTTCACTGTTCTGTGGCCTGCTTTAGCTCCCTCATACACATCTTATTCCTCTATAGAGTCGTGCAGTTTATGCTTTTGTATTTTCTCCATCTTTTGTTTATTTTTTATGGGTTTAATTTGAATTTTCTGCAGTTATTTTATATTGTGGGGTTTTTTTCTTAAAATTTGCTGACTGTTTTCTTCTTTTACTAATTTTATTTTTTGTCTCTAGATATCCCAAACATAACTGCATATTGGTTATAATATCCCGTTTTTCTCTTTAATAGATATCCAAAATGACTAGCAATAACCAAGGTAGAAAGAGCAATCTACATTTGTATAACATGTCTGTGTATTGGCCTAGTCACTCCTACAGTGGCGCATATTGGCCTATTTTTTCCCCCACTATAGCCATTCTCCTTTTACAAAGCATCTGCTGTACTACCAAGAAATTACTTCGATTAATTGTATTTGTCACGCATGATCTTTTTTCAGGAATTGATAACCCAGTATTTTCAGTTGATGATGATCAAAGCATCTACATGAAGTTCTCGCCATGGTTATCTAGTGAAGATACTGTGGTACCATCACAAAGGGCCCGAGTGCAAATCCCATATTCTCCAAATAACTTCAGACGACTCACTCCATTCCGGCTCAGCAATAAATCAATAGATTCCTTCCTGCTAGCAGATGGCCCAGAGGACCGACCCAGATCTTTTCTCCCAGAATCAACACATATGTAATATTTTAAAAAGATATTATCACCTTCATTTTTAATCAGCCTTCCTATCAACCCTGACTACTGACATGTAAACTTACTCTTCTGATTTTTCTTCTCCCAGAGCATCTCTTTCCTTACTGATTTCTTTGCACAATTAAACACCTTTTTCCCTCCAGCTTGAATAACAAAACATCTTTCTCTTTTCCTTCTGCAGAAGAGCTGTCCAACTATGTGGGGTCCAATGCCTTGCTGTTTTTACAGCAGATAAGGGTCCTGCTCTTTTTTTTGGGTTGAATACTTTAAATGCCAAGAAAATAGTATTCCAAATACCAGAATATTGTGCACGCATTTTCAAAAGGCTCCAGGTTTCTTGGTTAGGCAGTTTGAGATGATGAAATTTGTACCTGAATTCCCTAACAGGAATCAGGTAATTCTGATTCAACCCCCTTAAACAGTGATTGGTCTTTTCGAGTAACATTGTCACTACTGTCTGAAGATGTAAGCAAAGCAGTCTGAAGCCCCAGAAAGACAATCCAGTTACTGATGCCAAAGGATATGGTTGCCCATATGAGGTCAGATGAGCCATTTCACCCATTGCATTCAGATGAACAATAAGAGTAGCAGGGCTAGACCAACTGGACTGTCTCTTATTCTTAGAACAATTAGAACATGACTTTTGACTCTGTTGCTAAGAAGTCTTGAGTCAGTTCTGAACATTTGTCCAGATATTTATTTATCCAGTGCCCAGGAAGGGAAAATGGTCCCACTGTTACAATACAAGTACTCAATGACACTGCTGATGTCATCATTAAGTTACATTAAAAGGGGCTTAAAAACGAAGCATGTTTACTAGAACGCATCAGAGTTCCTTTGCACAGGTAGAGATAATAACACAACAGCCAGACTGTGGGGAAGCAGAGTTCCAGTTTTGGTTAGAGCTCTATCCTTAAGCTGTGAGTTTGTCTTAATCCATACCTTATTCTGAGATCAGAAAAATGCCTAATTTTCTGATGCAATGAACAACTTAGGCTTAACAAGAGTAAAACAGTAAAAGACTGCAAGAGTAAACAACAAGAGGCTTAAAATGAAACTGACTCTGTGTTTAAAAGAATATCCTAGTTGCCCTTTAATTTTCGCTTTGTGGAAATTTTCCACACCATAAAAAGCAACCTTCACTTTTATAATCAACAGAGTCAGTGCTGTAAATGAGGTGGGTCAGGTCACAGTTCAGATATCATAATTGAATAGAACACAAGGCACTGTGGGGATTATGCAATGAAACACAATAGTCAGTTTCATCATGAATTTGCTTTTTTGGAATCCATGATCACAAATGTATGACCTAGTGTTCTCTGTGCATCAACAAATAAAGGAATGTGATAAGTTCATAGTACTTTTGTAGTAGGTTGATGAAACTTTGTTCAGATAAAGACCTCAAGATAAGAGTAAATGACAGTAATTTTGATTTGAGAACTTCATAACCTTTTGAAAAGAAATAGAAAAGGAAGTTCCATTTTTCATCTGTTCTGGCTTCTGTCCCTGCAGAAGATGTGCTAGTTCAAAAGTAATTACAGGAAGCACATCATTTTGTTTACTGGAGTGGCCTGTAGGTCTGTGCTTGGTTCTAGTGCTTAATTCCTTATTAACGCATCTTTATTTTTTAAATAATGTTTTAAAATGAACACTGGATTAATTAAGGGACTGCAAATTAAATTCCAATATCCTGATTAAAAATTTGAACAATGAGCAGCATTCCAAAAGGAAAACTTCTCCTTGACACTTATCCACCTTGAAATTATCTTCACTTTTTTTCCCACTGAGAACATTGTCATAAAATATTGGCATACGACCTACTGAACATTTTCTTGCTAACCTTTGTTCTTTTCCTCTATTCTATTGCCTTTTTATAATTGACTTTATTATTTGGAACTGGTATGTATAAATTCTTGTGCAGGTATATTTGATAAATCAAAATCATTGTGTTTTAACTGTTTAGTTTGTTAAGAATTGTTTTGGGAAGTTAGATTTCCCAAGCTTCAACTTTAGTACTCTCTGAAACAGTCCTCAATTATCTTCTTAACAGAATTCTTCTAATAGGAGAATTCAATGAGAATTGAAACTTCAATTAAAAGGTTTTAAAAAACAATGTAAACTGGAAGCCAAGGGTGGAAATGTGAAGTTTCTCTACATAGTCTAAAGTATACAGAAAACTGATCATAGTCTCCAGTCAATAAGAAATTGACTCCCTGGTGATACCCGCTGCTACTAGATTGAAAAAGCATAATTTCTTTCAAAGTTTCTGAAGGATTTCCTTGCTGAGTATCAGGACTAAATATTTCAAGATAAAAGATACACCTTAATGACCAGATGGTGGCTCCATCTCCTAAATATCTGAAACAGGTAGTTGTTCACCAGAAACACTGAACTAAGTTTTGCCTGATACTCAGTGAGGATAAGAATTTTAATAAACTCACTTTAGGTTGTCCAAGACAGAAATTGGGACAGGGTACAGTTCCCCAGCAAAAAAAAAAAAAGCCATCTTAAACCACTCACTTTCATAAGACTTTCATAAAAATAGCCAAAAGCAAAGCCCAATAGCCAGCATACTAGTACAGAAGTGTGTATTACAAATGTTTCTATTTAATTGTGCTCTCTAGGTGATGTGGACCATGATGTTGAAATGACAGAATACTCCTCTTCAGATGACCAATTAAACCAAAACCAAAATATTTCAGTGACTCCTCTCCACTTCTTCCCATCTTGTCTTCAAATGCCTTGGACACAAAACTATTCTTCATTGGAAAACAGAGGGAATATATCTCTTTCTACTGTCTCTGAGTATATAGCTTCTTGTGACCCAAATGTACCTGATCTCTTCTGGGAAGCAGGTACAGATATGAATAACAAAGAGACAGTAAACTCAGGTTATTGTTCTGAAGTTAGCTACAAGTCAGAGAATTCACAAGAAGAGAATTCTCTACTTATATTTGAAGGGCTGGAAGACTCTTATATGAAGGAGCCCCAAGAGAAGGAACTGTTGCTTGATGTCCAAGAAAATTACAGATCTGCTGCAGCCAGACGTGTACAAAGCCGACGTTCTTTTCACAGGCCAAAACCTCCGCAACACCCTAAGCTTCAGAAGCTAGCGTCTCTTCCAGCATCTTGCCATATCCCTCCACATTCTTTGGAACAAGAGGAAACACAGCTGTGAGCCAGGACTTACTTGAAAGGGGAAGATGAGAGAGAATAACTTGAACAAAGGGCTTCTGTAAAAGTATAGAGCAACCTCATTGGATCTACTCTAGAATGGTTTCAGATAAAAAGAGCGTGGGGTCCCATGATGTCAGAAACACTGGAGCTTTTCTGCTGCACTTATATTTTTAAGTTCTCATTCATAGTGAAAAGGTGCATAGTGAAGGGGAAATATGCCTTCTTGTTATTTTTTCATGTAGACTGTTACAAAAAATCAATATTATTTTTGGAGGGCTAAACCAAGAATCTTTTCAAATGGTAAATCCTTGCTTTTTACATGGAAATGGTTTATTATGCCATTATGCCATAAATACATTTAAAGAAATAGGCTGCATTTGCGGCTTCAGTAATGAAATTAAACATTTATGATGTATGAAATTAATATAGGAGAAGCCAATGGTTAGCCTTTTGCCTGCTAAGTCTACTCTGATTGAAATGGATCAGTGCCTTTTATAAGTGCAAGCTAAAGAAAAATGTTTTCCTGCTCTTGAATATTTCTGTCACTAAGTAATTGTGGGACATTGACTGTGGTGGAAAACTTTCCTTGGAGAAAGTCCTGGCATCTTGAAATTTAATCAAGGACTCCAGGAAGGCCATTTCCTTCCTTCACCTTCATTTCCTCTACTTAGTAGTGCTGGAATGAAAGAACATCCAGAATTAGCTCAGAGTTTTAGTTTGTGTGGTCGCAAGCAACCCATTTCATATTCTTCACTAAGCTGTTCTAATTTAAATAGCCTCACTCAGACAGAAGTGTAAATATTTGTCATTTTTACTGCTGCTTTGGAAGACACCTTCCAAATACTCTGTCAGATTATCTTGTTAATTTATGTATCACTTTCAATAGCTGATCAGGATAATGGTATCTCAGATGCTATCCTGTGTTTCTCCACATGGTTTAAGTGCCACAATGACTCAGGATGTTGGTGGTTCAAAGTATTGTACAGAGGTAGTTTGGCTACTGTGTATGTATATACCTGTTTGTGTTAGGAACTTCCTTTATTTTTTGTCCCCAGTTTTCTGTTAAATGATAGTAGTTAAGATTGCACTAGATGCATATTGCGTATGAATTTGATCTACATCATCCTGAAGACAGCTGGACACATCAGTGAAAGCCAATTCAGATGAAGACTAAATAAAAGTGAAAGCTCTGAGACATCTCATGTATGTATAATGCTACATGCCACCACATAGTCCTCTGGCCTATCTGTATTTTGCCTTGGATGATTCCAGTCCTGAAATTCTGGCCTGAAATCTTCAGTGGTATAAGTTGCAAAGGTTCTGTGACATCAATAGAAGATAAGTCCTTAGCTGCTTCTGTGATCCTAATGTGTACCTTATTTCTATTTGATATCAGCGTAAACTATTTGTAAATGATCTAAGTCACCTTCAGGGAGGTATCTGAATTGCTTAAGACTGGATCCAACAGTGGCTTTATTTGGTAAATTTTATTTTATCTATAGGAATTAGTGGTTGTTTCACTATACCCACACAGATTTTGAACAGGTTCTAGGTGATTCTGTGTCAGATGTCTAATTTCCAATTTACCCAGACACCCAAAAAGATTGGAGCACTGTGTGAAAATTGGTGCCCACATCTTTTTGCTATCTATGTCTTCTTTGCTGAAACCGCCTGTTAGGCTACTGCAAATTGCAGAGACGTGATGGCAAATGTCATACACAACCCTAGATAGCTACATAACATAGATTCAGAGTACTGGTTCTGTTGATACCAACCCGCAAGCAGGTGCCTGTTTGCAGTCATCTTGAGCACTGATTCAAATCAGTGTCTCTAACTGGAAAGATTCATCACCCAGAGCTAGTCTTTTTAATGAGGGTCATGAGACATAAGGCTGTCACCAGTAGTGATGCTAATTTTATAATTCAGTAGTGTAAATACAATTTTTTGTGAACTGAGTACATATGAACATACTATTTTGGTGAAGTAGAGCGTATTAATGCTGTTCCAAATATTATAAATGGAACAAGTATTTTAGTCATTGGCATAGATATATAATAGAACCACGAGTGATCCCAAATATTAGCACAGGTAAAGTGCAATGTGCCAAAATCTAACCTCGAGTCTCATAGCACAATGCTGAAGTACCAACACCAAAGTTGGCGAGATGCTCATCAGGTGTTGGCTTTGAAATAAAACTTTCATTTCTTATTGCTGTTGTACAGAAGGTCATTGCTGTATTGCAGTCAGAAGAACCACACTGTAGGTTGTGTTTTCTGCACGCTTGTTAGAGCTTTCCTAAGCTATTTGTGTACAGGCTACCTCAAGAAAACATTTGTAAATCGTCATCAGCAGATGGAAGTTTTCACTAGGTAAGTGTTGCACACAAAAGAGTGTGCAATTTGAAAATCATAGGATAGAAGATTTTAATGTTCTTGTATGCTTTTATGCTAAACGAGGGAGGATCAATAGACACCACAGTGTTTACAAATACAGCAGTCCCTGTGAAAAGTCAGCAGGATCCTGTATGTTTCTGAGAGGACTGCGGACTGTAGGAGTTTTTGCAAAATGGAGACGAGCGTTATGCCATTTTTAACAACAGAAGAAATGGAAAGTCACTATATACAAAGGGCTTCACTCTCCATTTACTTTCAAAGGCTTTAGGCATTTTCTGTATGTTGTGTCACCATAGTTGAACAGATGAAGGATAAAATGGACAATTCTGATAGCAAAAAGACCTTTCCCTGGAATAGCTTGCATAATTTCTGAAGTATTATGCCTCTCAGAGATGTTTTCTAGTATAATTGCCTCTGCAGCAGGGTTTTGTTTAGCATAGTTTCTCAATTTGAAATGTGATTTAAAAAATTTTTCATGTCCCAAATTTCTATATTGAGAACATACTCTAAACTAGAATATAGTGGATTATAATTCCTTTTTTTTTTCTGAGGCAATTACTGCTGGTGTCTACCAGGGTATATACAAAAAGTAGGTTATAAGAGGTCATCATCTGTCTCTCTTTTTTTGTTTGTTTCCATAATTTTTCAATGTACTTTCACATTTCAGTACATGTCCTGTGGGTGCAAGTGTTCGGTTTCTTCTTCAGCACACTGTAATCAGTCAAGCACCACTACTTTCTATCACAGCGACATAGATTTAGAGCTGCTGAGGATCTGGCTGTATGTGTCAGCTTCTTTTTTACCATGTGAACTAGATTGGAATGATCATTTTGTAATCAGTTCATCTCTGGTGAGGCCAGTTCAGGTCTTGCTTCCCTGGCTGAAAACTCTGTCCCCTTTTTTTGTAATATGCGATGTCAAAGAAAGGCAAGCTCAGAATTCCACAGTCACTATTTATTGAACAAGTAACTATGGCCTAACTTGTTGTAAAAAAATGAAATGCAGGAATATTTGAAGTCTCGTCTACACATTTTGCTCCATGTATACGGTTCTTTTTAACAATGTTTGTTATGCTGCACTATGACCTAACAATGTAAAAAAAATGAAGTGTTGCCTGCATTCAGATGAATTCTGTCTCTCTGAGCTGTGAAGCTAGTTATTGATATATATGAAATTATGTTTTACAAATATGTGGTCTAGATGGAGATTTATGTAACAAAGGTTGCAAAATAATCACGTGCCTTAAATTATAATTCTTTGGAGCGTTGTTCTTTGGAGATTTTTGTGTGTACTTTCCAAAAGGTGTCAACTTACTGCATATATTTTTTAAAAAGTCAAGTTGTTCTGCTAATATGTCTTTATAGAAATGTTTTAATAGCGTATCATAATGAAAAGTTTGGCAATAAATTGTATCACTTTGGTGGAATCACACTGCTTTGGCAAGTGATTTAGAGAATCATTTATTTAGTACATTTAGAGAAGACTTTCCATACAAAACTTCTGAGAAGTTTGTATTTCTGTTCCCAAACCAAAATGAAAAAAACCAGTAGCAGGCTGATGATAATTCATGTCCTTTATAAAATGCAAATCATTAAAAGCAGCAACAGAAGTTGTAGCAGAACTTCTGAGTCTCTCTCTGAAAACCAGAACACTTTTTGTATAGTTCCACTCCCACTGCAGTCAATGACAGAATTCTCATTGGCTTTATAAGAAAATATTTCTATCCTTACAACAGAAGGGACCATATTTTGTCAAGGTATATGTAGAGATGTCATTATAACAACACAATAGTTTAAACTTCACAGATATTATGATATATAGCATTTCATTATAATATTCTTTTGATGCAAAGATTCAAGCAATCTTTTGGGATTTTGTTTTATTGTGCAATGCTTCTTAAAGATTTGGTAGTCACTAATGCCAGCCAGCTTGGTTTCCTACAGAGAAACCAAGGAAACTTAATCTAAACTTTCTTATATCGGATGAATCAATTTTCCCTGAAAGCTCTGTGGTCCCAGTGAAAATTACCATTTCTACTGTCATCCTGCTGTTACGATGTTTCCATACCTCACATCATTGCTTTCTACAATAGATAGGAGGCATGGGGTGAAAAAATAACTTCTTCTGAATTTATTTATTGTGTAATGGAATTAAATATGTAATGGAGTTAAATAAACATTATTTTCTAAGCATGGGTTTGAAGAGATTGAAAAAGATAGCACAGATGACCAAATGATATGCTAGCAAATAAGATGCTGCAATGGCAAAGTTAGATATAACTGTTTTGCAATAGCTAATTAGCTAATAGTTCATTAAATCAATTGTGGGAGGAGTGTCATCTCTTGTCACCTTCGTTGATACGCAAAGCATACAGAAGCCATGAACAGACACTTCTGTTGGAAAAAATAAACTCGTAAATCAGCTCATAAGGATTCTGATAGGTCAGATTTAATGGTTTCTTAGCCATTAACAGGTCACAGGCTTTTGCAAAATGATGTGCACAACACAGCTGGCACACAGAAGATGAGAGAATTCAGTGCTGTCCATTGCTTAGAAACACAAACAAATACAAAGTTGTGGTCAGCACAGTAGACCCAATCAAGGTAAA